GGTCTGTCTTGTCTCGTTTCTGGTTTGTTTGGCTGGTCTTGTCTGCGGCGGAGCCCGCTCGCCGACAAGTTTGATAGTGTTCGGTGGTGACTTTTCGCTCGGAAGAGGAACTGGTCTCTCCTCGCCGGGTGGCGATCGGGACGGGTTGGCGGCGATGGGGCTGGAAGTGTGCGAAGCCGAGGAGGAAGATGCGGTTGGGATGCGGGAGGGAGAGACACCCGGGGCGGGTGTTTCGCTTCCTCTGTCCCGCGCTCGGAGTCTTACGTGGGTGAGTGATCTGCACTGGGATCGGGTCCGGGGTGTGTGAAATTGCTCGGGGAGGGGACTGAGCCCTAAGACCTTTCTGCGCCGAAGAAGCCTAAGGGACCCCTCGGTCGTGGGGTGACCAGTGCGGGTGAAAGTTTGGGAGCGCCTTGCCTGTTTCAGAGGGTGGCGGAGAAAAGTCCTTCGCGCGCGATCGGGAGGATTCCACGCCTGTCTTCCGGAGCCGCCGAGATCCCATCTGCGGTCCTTCGCTCCCTGCTTCCCAAGATGCGGGGGAGTTTGGCCACCTCAAGAAGCCTAGGCTGGGGGCTGACAGAGGCTTAGCGAGTCCCCCAAAGTGGAGAGCTTTTGCACTCTGCATGCTCTCAGAAACATTCTTTCCGAGCGCGTCCCGCGACATATTCCCTGACATTTCAAACAAGAAGGTCCCGAGTACAGAAAATAAGCCCAGGATCGCATAGTGCCAGGGACCTTTTAGGCTACGCTTTTCTCCGCGGACAGCTTTAGAGGCAAATCTCGTTGCCGGAAGCTGGCCACCGGAATGTGGAGGACCAAATTAATTGGCCAGAGGGATCGCGACACTTTAGGTACGCCATCCCTTAATCCCCCGTAACATCTTACTTAGGGGGTGAAATGACAGCACTCTGTCTCTCTCTCTCGCTCCCCCCCCCCAACCCGTACTGGCTGCTGCTTTTCCTCGCCTCGTCCCTTGTCGCTCTTTCTGGCTGACTTCAGCTCGCTAGCGCTCAAACTTCTGAATTCTTTGGAAAGCGAGTCCCGCTGCATCCTAAGCGACCGAGAGAAGTTTTAATTTCTCGTTCGGCGTCTGGTGCGTTTGGCGGGGCGAAGCCGATCACAAAACCGATCGCCTCCCCACATCGGTCCCCTTGCTGACCCCCAGCACCCCATTGCATCCTCCACGTGAGCCCCCCCCCCCGCCTCGGGGTTTGACAAGCTCGGGATTCGAGGTATGTATATATTTGGTTGCTAGGTGACTGCATCGCTATGTTGTTCTCCACCCCCCCAACACACACCACCCGTCGGGTCGCCCCCGCCCTATCTGACATTATCTTTGGGAGTCAGAGCGGGGATCCGGGGCCATTACGTCATGCTGCAGGCTAGTAAGAGCGTGATTAAGAAACTCCGATATCGGGGGCTGATTGGGAGGGACGAGGGGAGAAATGCTGAGAAAGCAGGGTTACCTGGCTTCAGTGTTACATTTAAGCCCCCTCGCCCTGCTCGCTCAATCTTTTAGATCCCCATTGGTAGGTGATCTCCGGATCATCGCGGAATTGGCGAAGTTTTCCCCTTCCAGAATGCGGAGATCCTGAAGATGAGCGTGCGGGAGGGGTGGGCGAGATACCTGCGACGCTCAAATACTCTCCTGCGCTATTTACGCCCGGTTGCGCTGCGCGATCGCCAGGTCCCTGGGATCCTAGTAAACTTTACAGCAACACGGCAGTTAAGAGGTTTATTTCTCTCACACATACCCCATTGAAAGGGGGATAAACAGGTAAGTAGCTGTCCTTTCCCTTCATTCTTTTTAGACTAAGGAGAGTTCGGATGAGGATCTCTTTACACGTATTCTGGCTAATTTAAGGTAGTGATCGGGAGAGCATGTGAAGAGTTTTCTGGGGGATCAAAACTGTGCCAAGAAAGGTGTCCCGGAGCATTCTCACTTCAATTAAACCTTATTTGGAAATCGCATGTTGATTTCCATGAATTGTTCCCTCCCCCCGCCCCCCAGCCTCAATTCTTGAAAAACACAGGTGCTTTCACTTGCCACCTTGCCGGTGGATCTTAAACAAGTTTCACTTCGGAGTGAGTAGCAACAGGCGGAGAGGGATCAGGATTGGGCTAAGTGTTATGGAAGCCTGGCAGCTCAACCGACGCTCAGCAAAACTCTCCTTTTGTGGGAAGAAACTGTCAGCGGGGAACAATGTGTGCCCTGGGCTCCTTGCCCCTGAACACAGATTGTATGTGCGGGTGCGTGTATGTACATGTATATACGTACAATGCATGTATCCATACCATTTCAATTGAGATTCTTTTGGAATTAAGGGCCACACGTCTAATGAGAACAACTGGCGGGGGTGGGGAGGGTGGAAGTTGCAGAACTTTTGAAAGCTGTCTTTGGCATCTGTTACTTTTACGCTTCGGATTACATTTTCAGCAAGAACTTTAAAAACAGCAAAAAGCGGGCTAGAGGGGGGTGGGCGAGTGAGAAACTGAACTCCTTCTTTTGGCCTTTTATCCCTGTGCAGGTTGCAAAGCCCCAGAGAGAAGTGTGATTAATGATCAGCGATAAGTGATTAGTGGTTTTTATTCAAACTGTTACCTCTGACCAGAAGCACACATCAGAGGATTAAGAGGCTCTTTTAGATAAATGCTCATTAGTGGAAGGGGGAGAAAGCAAAGATAATAGGCAGGCATAGAGAGACAACTTTCTAGGAAAATCATTCCTGTCTTTGGAATAATAAGCTCTATTCACGGAAAAGCACTTTAATTTAAAAGTTGCTTTTATCTTGTAAATCAAAGTTTGATGTAAAAATCCACTGGGCTATTATAACCTAGATTTTCCCATATCCACAGGACAGAGATTATCCTAGTTGTGATATTTCTTTTTCATTTAGAGAAACAATTGGGTTCTTGAAAGAAACTGAACACTCTCAACTCCCCAAGTATCCTATGGTATCCCCTCCAAATGTACCCAGAGAAACCTGCAGTCAGTTAAATAGATGGTGCAGCAGAGTTCTGGAGAGGTATAGTTCTGGATTCTGAATGAACATGGCATGTTGCAGCTTGCTTGATGTCCTTCAGTGCTTACAACAAAGTTGATTCTGTCCCAGGTTTGAGCCTCAATGGTTCTTTACATTAGAAGCCACATTTTCCATCCAAGTTCAATGTTCCGTGAAAAATTAATTTTATTGCTTAAAGAAGTATTCGGGGCAAAAGAAGTGTGTGACAGGTAGCAAGAACTTGATGAAAACAGCGCTTGATTAAAATAGTGGATTGTGATATAACATCTACTTTCTACTCTTTTATTAAGCAGTTGAGATGCTGATAATCTTGCACTCAAAACCAGAGACAGGACAAGTTTTTCATTTGAGGTTCAGTGGAAGGAAGGAAGGAAGGGAAAAAAGTTGGTATTATCAATTTAAACTTGACAATGGTGAAATATATTTCCCTATTGATTGCTCCTTTGCTGTATTTTCTTAATACAGAGATTATGGATATATAAATATAATGCTCAATTTATTTTGTAAGGTTTTTCTCTTATTGGTACTGTCATTTCATTTATAAATCAAATTCACACTGGAAAAAGAGATTTCAGATTATAAATTTGATTCCATTGGGATGGGGGGGGCAAAACTTGAATATTTTATAGTAATTTGTTACAAATACTCAGTAGTTTTTACAGTTTTAATGCATCTTTTTAAAGAGATCTGCATACAGGTCTATCTATTCTTGATGAGTTGAGGCACAAGAGCAGAGGGAAGAGTAACGTATCAGAATGAAGTGTTATTTAGATATGTGATATACATAGCATAAATTATACAGTACTACTATTTGTCTAGTAATACTTCCAGACTTGCAAAACATTCTGTGTGAAATTCCCAAATCCATTGATAGAGCAAAAGCAGATAATGTCTCCTTTTTAATTTAATTTGCTTTTGGAATTGGGTTGTGAAAAGGCTGGAAAATGTAGTTTTAAAAAGCTGGAAAATCAAAGTAAAGTGGGCCACCTATATTTCATTATGATCTTTAAGAAGACTGCACACAGGTATCTGAATATTGTGTGGAATGATATTTAGAATGGGTCTGTGGGTGGTTTTTTTTTGAGATTTTAATTAGTTCTTTTAATTATCTTTGCAAAAGAAACTTGTAAAACCATTGCACGTCAGCCAGAGTTACCGCATTTATTTATTTAATTTATATATATTTCCCACCCTCTTCCACAAAGCTAAACCCCCCCTCCAAATCTTCTCCTCAGAACAGTCTTGCAAGGTAGGTAAACTGAGAGAGAGAGCAATGGCCTGAAGTCACACAGTGTGCTTCATGGCTATCTGAATTTTTACCTAGATATCCTTATCCCAACACTATAACCAAAAGGCAACACTGACTCTCCTATATGAAAATCACACCCCAACTGACAACAGTGTACAAGCAATGGGTCCTTTTGTATGTGTTTCATGCTGTGAAAGAAATGTGGGTTTGATAACTGTGTATAGCTAGTGTGACCCAGCTTCAGTAACTTATTCTTGATAAAATCATTTTTTAATCCCCCCTTCTTCTGCTCTCCTTTTTGTTTTAATTTTATGTCTAGATCATTGAGCTGCCATATTGGTTTATAGCTATTGGGCCATGCAGGGTTTTGAGTTCTAAAT